TGACCATAACATGGCTAAAACAGCTATGAGCCACTTTCTAGGAAGCCCCACCTTACCTGTCAGATATTCTACCCCAAGACTTCCTACTGCTATGTCAAAACCAGTTGTCATCACTGTCCACACTGGCCAACCATTCTTCCATGACATTCTTGGTCTCACCTCATTATTCCAGACTGTAATGGTCACATTACTTCTCGTGATCTGTAGCTTATTCTCTTATCTCAGCTTCTTAAAGGCACCTGAGTAGTAAATGTAACTTATCAATTCAGATAGATTTGCACCCACTCTTCACGGCACTACCCTCACCACGTCATTAGATGAAACATTCCAGCCAGTTCTTATTTGCTCCTTTATTCCGGAATAGCCTTTCATTTCTGGGATTGCATCATGTTGAAGGAGAGGAGTAGAAAGTCCCCGCCAGGCTGAGTCAGGCCCAGAACCTCAAGCTGGGCTCGACTCACCCAATAAGAGCCGTAATGTCTTGCTCAGGGAACCCTTGGAATCTCCCTCTTTGGAACTATTTTTTAAATAGGAGAAATTCTCATTTCCTAGAGTCATTTAAAAGGGTTCTGACTTTAAGGCAAGGAAATAAGCTTGATGTCTTAGAAAGGCTACACTGCCATGATTTTAAGATTCTCATGGACTTGTGAACACATGGAAATGTAAAAACTAAATGTCCCTTAGCTATGGTTTCTTAAATTGCATTACTTATAAAAAAATGTAAATTCAGCTCTGTCACTGGTCATATTTGCCAGCCGGCAACAGAAATGAAAGACAGGTAGCAAATTTAGAACAGCAGCATTTTAGGGAAAGACACAGAACACTCCAATGGAGCAGAATTAGGAAAGAACCAGTAGAAAAGATGAATCAGAGAGTAGCAGCTCTGAATAAACTTTGAGTAAGAAGACACCATGAAGTCTGCTTTTCCATACAGCCAAAATAGTTGAGAAATGGAAATGACAGTCATGTTGTTGTAAGATTCTTAAAAGACCAGAGGGGGTGGCAGAGTGGCTCAGGTGATAAAGTGCCTGCCTTGTAAGCAGGAAGTCCTGAGTTTAAATCCTAGTACCACCAAAACAAATAAATAAATAAAAGACCAGCTGTTGCTATCTTCTTATAATGCCATTGCATAATCTGCTTGTGCAGCCGTAACAAAGTACCACAAGGTGGTGGCTTAAACAATGGAAATTTCTTGTATCACAGTTCTGGAAGCTGGAAGACCAAAATCAAGATGCCAGCAGGGCTGGTTTCTTCTGAATCCTCTCCTTGGCTCATGATGGCCGTACCTTTCCTGTGCTAGTTTCCTCTTTTTGTCAGAACCAGTCATATTGATTAGGGCCTGCCTCTGTGAGCTCACTTTAACTCAGTTACCTCTTTAAAGATCATGTCTCAGGCCAGGCATGGTAGTGCACACCTGTGGACACAGTCACTAGTGGTATAGCATTTGCCTAGAAAGTGCAAGGCTATGAGTGCAAAACCTAATGTGGCCAAAATATAAAAAATAAAAAAGACTCTGCCTCCTAAAATAGCTACAGTCTGAGCAATTGATTTGGCCTTAGGACTACAACATACAAATTTGTGAGGGAACACAACTGAGTCCATGACAGTTAACGCTGTCTCCTGAAATTGATCTCTCTTGCACTATATTGTCCTTGAAGGATGAGCAGACCATTGGCTATCTGGAGAAGCTGAACCTGGACACCACCCTTAGTATCACTTTAGAGCTCATGGTGCTCCTTTATATCCTAGCTCTTGTCTGGGTCTTTTCCTTGGCAACAACCTATTGCTTCCCTCCTGAGCACTGATGTGGGGATTCCTCAAATATTACTTGTTCATACAGAGGATGCTATGTCAGCGTTGAACCATAAGGCTGCCTCACAAACTGTTGGCATCTTCAGACGCCAGGGTAGCACATGCCTGTGAGACGACTTATGATCTGGGGGTGGAGGGGGGAGGTGATTGGCAAATTTGCAGTGGGGAGACAATTTTTTATTGATGGAGAAACCCTGAAGGAGCTGAGTAATGTGTGTTCTTTTCTCTAATCTGATTTCTATGCTCTTTGACTGGAAAGAGGGAGAGAAAGAATGCACTGACTCATGATGACTCTAGGAAGTTCTGGAGTCAGGACAGCAGGTCACATGGACATCACATGCTGGGTGAGGCAGCCTAGCCACCAAAGAGGGAAGAGCTTACAGACTCTCAGTGTGTGATTAATTACTGTGTTGATAGAACAGCAGAGGCCTTTTCATCCAAGCCCAGTCCCATGGCTGCTTCTCCTAAGACAGAGGCCTGCTGTAGACTGAGCATCTGGAAGTGAAACCAGGAGTGAGATGAGAGCAGTGTGGGTGAAGAAGCAGACTGGGGAAGGAGTCAAGTTCTTCTATCATTCTTGTACAAATGACTGCACTTCCAAATTCTGCAGCCTTTAGGGGCTCAATGTTAAAAGCACCAATAATGACAGGTGTAGGAGTAGCAACCCCTGCTTAGCTTTTAAAACTGTGGCCAACTCCTTCCTGACATACCCTCTTCCGGTATGAAAATTCCTCTTCCTTTAGGGACCACAGGGTTCTTGTCTGCTTGTTCATTCTCTGCTACTTTGGCTATCACCTTTCCTGATGCAGTCCTTTAGATGAAGACATTTCTCCAGCATTTGCTTCCTACTTCTCTCTTCTTCCCTCCTCTCTCCTGAGTAATCTCATCTCTCCATGAGAGTTCAACACCTAGATCCACCTGACTCCACCTCTCTGGAGACCCTCCCATTCTCTGGCATGAATTTCTGGAGTTGCTCTAGGCAGGTGGTTCTGAACCTCAGCTACCAAAGATTAGAATAACCTGGGAGATGTTAAAAGAACCCTAGAGCCAAGGCTGTACCCCCAGGTCCATTAAAGGAGATCTCTGGGAGTAGAAATCAGGCATCACTATTTTTAAGTTGTTTTTAATTCTCCCACCTAGAGATAATGATCTCTCTTCTGACTGAGCTCTCACAGTGCTTTTGTTAACTGTTCTTAGAAAGCTGATAATTTTTCTAAATCTTGTTTAAGAATGAGATTAAGCCATGAAACTTTAAGCAAGTTTGTGAATCACTCTTTACCTCAGTTTCCTTATCTCTAAAATGGTAGTGGATTAATAATAGCACTTAATTCATAAGATTCTCACAAGAATTAGAACCTTAGTTCAGTGCCTGGCACATAAAAAGTGTTGAGCCAATGACAGCTATTACAATTTTGAGCAGTGAGTAGGATTTTTTGTGTGTGTGTGTGGCAGTACTGGGGTTTGAACTCAGGATCTCATGTTTGCTACGCAGGGACTCTACCACTTGAGGAACTCTGCCAGTCCATTTGTGTGTTAGGGATTTTTTGAGATAGGGTCTCATGACCTTTTTGCCTGGGCTAGCCTTGAACTTTGATCCTCCCAATCTCAGCCTCCTGAGTAGCTAAGATTATAGGCATGGGCCACCAGTTCCTGTTAGTAGGATTTTTGAATGATAAATTTATGTGTAATCCAGTGGTTCTAGAACTTTAGCCTACATAAGGAGTATTAGGAGAGCCTGTTAAAAAATAACTACTCTGATCCCTTTCCAGAGTTGTGATTTCGTGATTTGGGGGTGGGAGAAGTCCTGCTTTCTAGAAAGCTCCCAGATAATCTGGTACTGCTAGTCTGAGGGTCTAGCTGTAAGTAGTAGCTGAATCCATGTTCTGGCAACTCCTGAGCCCAGAGAGTTACATGAGGACAACTCTGCAAGATCCTTCCCTGAGCCCAGGCCTCAGACACTGTTCCTCAAGAGCCAACATGATCAATCATTAGTCTAGCCCTCTAAGTTCCAGAGCTTGCATGACTCACATCCTAAGAGCAGAGTCCAGATGGCTTTCCAGGTACCCATGCAGAACTTCCAAGAATCAGGAAAGTTTCTGACATGAGAATAACTCACAACCAGCCCAAACCCTATGTGGTTGTGACCCACAAAGCCTTAAATTAGAAGCCAGGAGATTATGAAAAGCACCAAGAATGGGCAAACTTTGCCTGTCATATTGCAAATTGAGCACCCCAAATCCAAAGACATTTGAAATGCTCCAAAATCCAAAACTTTTCATACCATGAAACTTGGCTTTTGCACAAAATTATTTAAAATAGTCTATAAATTTACCTTCAGGCTATGTGTATAAGTATATTTGAAACATAAATGAACTTTGTAAGTAGACTTGGGTCTTATCTCCAAGATATCTAATTATGTATATGCAGATATCCCAAAATCTGAAAAAATCCTAAATGCCTCTGGATCTCATTTCAGATAAGGGACACTCAACCTACCCTTTCCTTTGCTTCTTTTTCATCTTGCATCTAGGGACCTTCCAGAGCTTGCTAGCTCATTAGAGCTGGAGGCTTGCTTGCTCTGACCTGTGGATTTAAACACCTGCTTTGGCCAGATTGTCTCTGGAAAGGCCCATTTTAGGAAGAAGGTACAGTGGCTCCTCTCTCAGTTGAACAAGACACCATTGTGTGTATCTTTCTCAGGCTACCACAGTGCTCCAGCTGCTGTCCCTGACCCTATTCTGTCTTTCCTAGTGAGATTTCAGCCCTAAGCACTTCATCTTAATTTTTCTTCTCCGGAAGATACCTGACCATGCCACCACTGTAGCTGGCTCTTTGCCCTTGCAGTGTTCATCGGGTTCTTCTCACCTCTCTGCAGCCATGTTATCTATCTCATTACATTCCTTTTAAGCTGACTCTTTATTCTGTTTCCATTTTAGCTCAAGTCCATTACACTAAATACTGTACACATTATTATCCCCTAAACAAATTTCCTCAATCAGTTTTAGTGAGTGAGGTCAGGGCCCAATGAGCTGGAAGCCCAGCCCTTGAATTGGCTCTCAACCAAAACAGCCCAACAGCCCCCTCCTTCTCAAATCAACATTGTTCCCAGAGGCATGCAGGTTTACATCAGTGAGGAATGTATTAATTAAAGCAAATGAAAATGCCCTCATTTGTTGTAATGAATTTAGCTCTTGCAGGCCATTTTTTTTGGGGTCGCCTGCCTGGATGATGTGCTGAAAAGAATTAAAGGAAAAAAAGACATTAAGTTCGTAACTGCCTTCAGGGATCTGCTTTTCTCCACACTGGCTTTTCCTTTATCCATGGTAAGTTATCAAGTTTTACATCTAATACAATAGACATGTACAAATGAGCAGACACTTCTCTTGGGCGGTGAGTGTGTTGTGAATCCATTTTTGGAGACCAGAACAACGGCATTTGCATAAAGGTCCTGTCTGAGAACTGTATTACATTGTCCAGTGTCTTGAGAAAGAAGGGTACATTAGTTTTGTGTCTTTGTGAAGACTTGACGCAAGGTCCTCATTGGAGCCCAATGGGGAGGGCTTCTCCTTTTAACGGTAGGAGGGTTTGAACTCAGGGCGTCATGCTTACTAGGCAGGCACTCTACCACTTGAGACACTGCCAGCCCTTACAGGAAGGTTTGAAAGACCTCTTATGATCAAAATACAGTCAGCACTCTATTTCTATAGATTTTGTATTCACAAATTCAACCAACTGTATACCAAAAATTTTCAAAAAAGTAGATAAATGAAAAACAATACAACAAAAAATACAAATAAAAGTAACTATTATTATATTAGTTGTAAAAAAAACTCTAGAGGGAATTAAAAGTATACAGGGAGATGTTTGGGTGTCATATGCAAGTATTTTTTATATATAGGACTTGAGCATGCACGGATTTTGGCATATGTGGGAGTTCTTGGAGTCAATCTCCTATAGATATTGAGGGACTATAGAACTGAGACAGCCTTAGTTTCATCAGATGATGAAAATGGAGAACCCCGGTGTGTGTGGGGGGGTGACTTATTTCCTCTTTTATGCATCCTGCTTCACTTGTTACAATAAGCCTATGCTACTTGTACAAGTGGAAAATCATCAAATTCAAAATAAGAGATATGCAGCTTGCAAAGTTGGCACACAGAAGAGAAAACCTAGTAGAGAAAGACAATCCAATGTAGAACTCACAGTAGATGCCTCATTCCTTATATTGAATGAACAGACATCAGGAAAAAGCAAGACATGTACAGACCATAAGTTTGTTTGCTGCTACTGTCCACATTGCTATGACATAGTTCATGTTTCCATTGATTAGCAAAAATGGAAACAGACTGAAAAGCATGCTGGCTGCCCAGCAGGGCCTGTGATTAGAAATGACTACCTTCCTCCACCTGTCATTGTCCTGCTTTCTTTGGTACTGAGACTTCAAAACTAAATGCCACATTAAACTCTTCAAATACTGATCAGTTCTCAGATAGAGCAAGCACTTTGCAGAATACCTCTGCCTCTATACCCAGAAAGTCTTCTAAAGACTTCTAAAGGTCTAAAGACTTTCTAAAGTCCTCTAAATACCAAGTTTTAAAAACGAACAATGGAATCTTTTCATTTTGTAAGGCTTAGAAATTAAGTCTATAAAATTTCAGAAAATAGGAATATCAGAAGATTAATAGTTTCCTGTCCTCCCAATCTTGGCATTCACTTTATAACACAAAAGAGCGAGGCTTTGACAAGTCATCCAAGGAGTGCAATAGATGGAGATGAATTCAAACTTTGAGCATTGGAGAAACCCAACTCTCAGCTACATAGCTTGTGAATGATCCTGGGAGCTTGTCACTTCTTATCTTCTCTCCCTGCCTTCCTGCTTTCCCTTCCCATGGCTACTTAAAGGGTGGGCAGGAAGCTATTCCATGGGCCCACTCTCAGCGTTCTTGGTACAGGCTAAGAGGAGAAAGAAGCCATGGGTTATATTAAAGGACTTGTGGTCTGTGTTTCTTGTTTATTCATAACTTCTCTGCCTTTCACGATGACAAAAATTGATCCTCACAGCACATTGAAGAATCCCCAGAAAGAGCAGTTGTAGCAGTTCTACAATAATCATTTCCCTTTCATTCTACATTCCTACAATGTACGTATAAGATAATCTTAACACAGATATTTGCTTTTTGCTGTTGTTTTGATTATCTTAGAAAAGACTAATGATGCTACTTTTGTGTTTCACTTTCTAGTTTGTATTTTTGGCATTCTGGAGCCTCTTTCTCTATGATCGAGATCTCGTTTTCCCCAAGGACCTGGATAATATCTTTCCAGTATGGCTGAATCATGCAATGGTGAGTAGGGGGAAATTAGGTGAGCATAGAAAGCCAACGGCCTCTTACAATAAAAATTCCAAAGTGCTTTATTCATGTTTCCAAACTAGTCCTCATCCCCCCAACATCCAATCCACTCCTCCTCTTTACCTGGTCACTCTTTATTTAAAGAATGCATTAAGAGTATGAAGTGAACAACCTGTTGTGTAGCTGTGAAAGTCCACTAAAAGCAGAGCTGATGTTCAGACAAAACCTTGTCACATTGCTTGGGAAGTCAACAACACACAATCAGAAGGACAGACAACTTTTTGGTAGCTGCAGTCCTGACAAAGAAATTACTTTCACTGTAAGAAATAATGGGACTGGTAGAGTTGCTCAAGTGGTAGAGCACCTGCCTAACAAGCATGAAGCCCTGAGTTCAAACCCCTGTTGCACACACACACAAAAGCAATGAAATTTCTATCCTGGAATGGAATAAAGCAAACTTTAAACAAAATCCACCACAGAATCTGTCCTGAGATGATCAGGCCAGTTGAATCTGAAGACTAGTAATGTTGACCTAGACAATCAGGGCTGGAGCAGATCTCTATCAGAGGACTGAGTCTGAGTCCTTAACACTGCATGCATGAAGTCTTCTTTGAAATCTTAACATAGTTTCTCAATCCCTAAAAATGTATTTGTGTATTTATAAGGAGGTTTCAGATTCTGGGAAGCAATACATTTAAAAATCAGAGGAAAATCTCAGAGATTAGTACTTTAAGGCTCCAAGTTTACTCACAGACTTTTTCTGCCTCTCAACCCTTCCAATGTCTTAAAACTCACATGATTACCCAAGTGGAAAAACAACTCAGTTCACTAACAACACCCTCCTTGTCTCACTCCTCAGAAAAATCTTACCTTTAATTTAAATGTTTGGCTCCATGAAATACTAATCAGTGAATAAGCTGCCCAGTTCTAATCTAGTTTCGTGTTCAAGATAAAAAAAAAACTATGTGTTAAATAAGTCCCACCTCTCAAGAATCCCCTCCTACCACTTCTTGTCTTCCCAATTCCTCACTAATATTAGTCTGAGATGCTTACATAGAGAATATTCCACTTTTTGTGTCACATTGCACTATTAAAAGCATGTTCCTCAGAGGTCAGCTCACTTAATTAACATACCCTGCTAGATAACTACTATATATATTTTTTTCTTTTGGAGGTACTAGGGTTTGAACTCAGAGCCTCATGCTTGCTAAGCTGGCATTCTACAGCTTGAGCCATTCCACCAGCCCTAAATAACTACTATAATTTTGACTTTCGAAAATTAAAAAAATAGATGAGATGGTAAGTGACTTGCCTGGGGCCACCAGGCTTATAGATAGCCCAGTTAGAATTGTAGTCCAAGGCTAATTCATTTGTCAACCCCTTTTGCTACAGTTAAGTCTATAACTTATGGTTTGATCTAATATCACAATTTAGCAGACAATCAAAAGGATGCCATTTTGCTTGACTAATTAATACAGCAAAGAGAATTTTCACTTAAAAAAATCCAGAATCCCCATCTGTATACTAATAAGCCAAAACTCTGAGAAAGCAAGGTGATTTGAGATAATTGGCTGAGCTAAATGTTACTAAAATAAATAAGGCAAGATTCTTAAAAGTACCTTTTATTTTGGGCCAAACACACATGTCAAACACATTCTCTAAGGCTTTGTGAGCTCATGTAGTGGTTTTCTTACAATGACTACAAGCTCCCTCCCTCTTTGGGGTTCCATTCTCCACATTGATGTGTGGTTGGATTTCTTCCAAATAGTTATGATGGTGATGCCCAATATTTGTGACCTTGCTAAATAAACAGCCATATGGATTGCTGATCATTTTGGAAGCAGAAAGCTGGATAATATACAACACACCCATGAGCTAATTAGCAAGGCAGATACTGTACCGTGGATATCCTCAAATATATTCTGTGTCTTTACAACCTGAAGGGTGCTGGTGATCCTGCCCTTTGGCCAACCAAGTAACTCAAGTCCCTTAGAAAGAAGAGGTAAGACTCATGGCAGAGGGAGGGGAGGGAGGCAGTGATGACCAGAGGAGAAGAGAAGGCTGCTTCCCTTGGGTCAGATGCCAATACATCAGTGTTTCTCTTAGCTTAATTGGAGAAATTCCCAACAGAGTTATCTTTAGGAAAAACACCAGTATCAGCAAAACTGGCTTGGGATGTCCCTAATGCAGTCATCTCCAAACTTCCTGCTTCTCTTTGATATCTGTTCCAAATCAAGTGTTTAGGAAGCTGCATCTCATCCCTGTCTTCCAGACTCTGACTCTGGAATGTCTTCTGACTCTGGACATTTTCTGTCCTCCATTATTGAATCCTCCTAATCTACTGCCTCAAGGAATGATTTTTGCCAGCTTCTCACATACTGGTGTCAACTGCTATAGAAAAAGTTGCTACTGGGTGCTATAATTTAGATGTAAAATGTTCCCCTAAAAGCCCATGTGTTGAAGATTTGGCCCCCAAGGTGGTACAGGTAGGTACTGGAATGGTTAAGAGGCAGGGCTTAGTAGGCGCTCTTTAAGTCATTGAAGGTGAGCTCTTGGAAAGCACGGTAAGATTCCAACTCCCTCCTCTTCCTCTTTTCACTTCTCTGCTATGAAGTAAGAGATTTTACTCCACCTCACATTCGTTGTCATGATGTGCTGCTTCTCTCTAGGCCCAAAAGCAATGGGCCAGTTAATCATGGACTAGAACCCCTGAAACTTTGAGCAAAAATAAAATTTTTCTTTTCATAAGTTGAATATTTCAAGTACTTGTCATAGTAAAGAGAAGCTGACTAGCATTGGATCAATTTGCTGACCCTTCCCACATTTCACCAGTGCCCTTCTATGACAACCCAAAGGAGTAGATATGATGTCAGGAAACTGCCTGTCTGGCACCCAGAGTGATGATGGGCAGTCTGACTGGACATTTGTACCAGTATTCTTCTGTGTGAGGCCAGGGCCAGTCTAAAATGAAATCTCTTCCTGAACTGTTCCTCCTTTTCCTCTCCACAGTCTAGTTGTTACTGCTTTACCTCATCAGTGTATCAGTGTTATGCTCTCCTGAAAGATTCTTTTACTTCACAACACTCCTTATGTTTGCTATTCTAGCACTAATTTTGGAATATTTTCTCTTGCTATTTGTGATGTTGCCCTGGATTTTATGAGTACCACTTCCCCTTTGACAGAGTGTGGTTCTAGACACTTCATGTCTTTGGAATTCCTCCCAGCCCAACCTTCTCACTCATTGGAAACTCATCACTGCAGTAGAAACCTTACTGTACTGCCTAATAGACATTTTCCTACCCTTGTTATGTATTCAGCCCAAACAGTAACATCAGTGGGATATTTGTATCCATCACAGATGGACAAGCTGCTGGCTCTGATGACAGAAGAGTCCCATTTGGGTCTGGCTACCTTAGTTTAAGTAGATCAACCTGACTGTTTTATTGCTAAGCAGTTCTCCAGTCTTCATAAAAGATGGGAAAGAAGAGCAAATTATTCCTCCAGGTTTTGCCAGGAAAACATTAACTCCTCAGGTCTTATCTAAATGCTTACTAAAGATAGAACTGGAGCAGACAGATTTAAATTGCAGGAAGAGGACTCTTGGTAACTGAGAAAACCATCAGATTCTAACTGGAGAGGGGCTGGGGAACTTTTTCTCTGGAAATCAACCTAAATTGTTCTGGTTGCCCCCAAAAGAAGAGAGAAAAAATAGATCAGAGCTCTCCCTCAGAGCCCCTCTGCATTTGAAAATAGTGAACAATTAGTGAGAATATGTGCCTAAGCCCTTTATAAACTGCCAAGGACTGCATAAGTGTAAGGCATTAGCATGTAAAACATAAAAATTCCTAGGCGGGATCCATTGTCCTGTTCTCCATCTATGATCAGAGTCTGAGAACCAAAAAAGCCCTATTGATACTAATGGGAGCTCTAAAATAATCTGCTGTTTGGAGACAGTCCTTTCTCCTGCTCTTGAAAGCAACAAATACAGCTACTCAGTTAGTAAATGTGTGTCATTTATTCATTTGAAAAATAATTGTTAAGCAGTATTGTGTGTGTGACATTGTTATGGTTTACATATGGAGTCACCCGCCCCAAGTCTCCTGTGTTGAAGACTTGGTTTTCAGTTGGTGGGGTTACTGAAGGGTGATTGGACCATGAGGGTGTTGACCATCCACTCATCAGTTTGTGACTGAATGGGATATTAGGAGGTAGGGGCTGGGAGTGGGTCTATGTAGGAATGGATAAAGCAAGCAGATCTGTCAGCACTTGAAAACAAGAAATTTGAGGTCATTCTCCCTTCCCACCAGCTCCCCTGACCACCTTCCTTTTTCCCTCTCCTTCTAAACCCCCAGGGGAACATAACCCTCTCTTCTAGCATACAAGGACATGTGACTTGAAGTAACAAGCTATCAAAAAATGTTGCTGCTAAATATTCACATGGGGATGAACATGTAAATGCTGGCTTTCCCATTTATCTAGCCAGTGGCAAATGCTATTGCATCATCCTCTAGGATGTTTTGTTTTTCTATGTTAGAGTTTTTCATTCTATCATTTTCAGAGGTCTGTGTGTATATATGAGTGTGTGTGTGTGTGTGTGTGTGTGTGTGTGTGTGTGTGTATATTACTTCTAGTAGTTTTATAACACTGACATGTCTGGTTTCATATTGAATTTTACTCTTCATGAATTATATTGCAAGTAACAAAAAATCCAACTTAAACTAACTTAAACATAAAGTGGAAGTTTTTGGCTTCAGTGGTAGAAGACAGAGGTTAAGGATTGTTTATGGTTGTTAGTCCTAGAATTCAGTTATTATCAAGGACTTGTTTAATTATTATTTAACTAATTAAATTTTCAAATCTTTTCCTCTCTCACTCTCTCTGCTTTCTGGCTGTCATGATGTAAGCAGCTTTGCTCTACCACAACCTTCCACCATGATGTTCTGCTTCATCACAGGCCCAGTGGATCATGCACTGAAAACTCTGAAACAATGGGC